TAAAGATGGAGCTATCATCTTGCGCGTGTGTGTGGTGAGGAGCAGTAGAGTAATGGTAGTGTAGCGGTTAGTTACCCGAGTTCGCTTCCCGCTCACGGCCACCAACACAGTGACAATTATCTGACCCGGATCTGGGTGAAGTGTATAAACAACGCCACTAGGGAGACAAAGGCGGCTGGGCGTGATGCTGGCCACCCACACCCTCTTGTGCCGTGCCGGCCTCCATAGGTGGCTGCTAACAGCACTTGCCCAAACATTCTGTTAAGGCTATGCGGGGGATCTTTGTCTTTGGTGCACGATACCCGCCTGTAGATTTGGGCTGCACAGCAAGCAACGGTGGAGTCGTGACGCCGTGGTCAATGCAGCCAAAGCTAGCAGCAGTTATGAGCGATATTTGAACTGGTCCTGGGCCATAGACTCTCACAGAGACCCCAAAGATTTACTCGGAGACTGGTAGACTAAGCGAAGACATAAACACCTGAAACTCCATCGCTTCCAAGTCCTTGGCGACTCTCCCATCTAAATCACAATTTTGATGCAAAGCTTTGATTCTTTATGATAACTGTATTTGCAGTTGCGTTTGACTTGTCTGTTTCCATATTAGTAGTCTGTCACCCTATATCTATTCAATATGCCTTTGATTTGTCTAAAAGTGATTTGCCAAAGCGGACTGACACTGTAGGGAAAAAAAATGAAGTTTTGATTTAACGTTGAATGAAATTTGTGCAGAACTTTCGATTTCTCAGGTGATACAGGTGATTTCTGAGGCGATAAGGCAATTTCTGAGGTGATAAAGGTGATTTCTGAGGTGATAAAGGTGATTTTTGAGGTGATTTCTGAGGTGATAAGGTGATTTCTGAGGCGATAAAGGTGATTTCTGAGGTGATACAGGTGATTTCTGAGGTGATACAGGTGATTTCTGAGGTAATAAAGGTGCTTTCTGAGGCGATACAGGTGATTTCTGAGGTGGTACAGGTGATTTTTGAGGCGATAAGGTGATTTCTGAGGCGATAAGGTGATTTTTGAGGTGATACAGTTGATTTCTGAGGCGATAAGGTGATTTATGAGGCGATAAGGTGATTTCTGAGATGATAAAGGTGATTTCTGAGGTGGCACAGGTGATTTTTGAGGTGATACAGTTGATTTCTGAGGCGATAAGGTGATTTCTGAGGCGATAAGGTGATTTATGAGGCGAATAAGTGATTTCTGAGATGATAAAGGTGATTTCTGAGGCGATAAAGGTGATTTCTGAGGCGATAAAGTGATTTCTGAGGCGATAAAGTGATTTCTGAGGCGATAAGTGATTTCTGAGGCGATAAGGTGATTTCTGAGGCGATAAGGTGATTTCTGAGGCGATAAGGTGATTTATGAGGCGATAAGGTGATTTCTGAGGCGGATAAGGTGATTTCTGAGGCGATAAGGTGATTTCTGAGGTGATAAGGTGATTTCTGAGGCGATAAGGTGATTTCTGAGGCGATACAGGTGATTTCTGAGGCGATAAGGTGATTTCTGAGGCGATACAGGTGATTTCTGAGGCGATACGGTGATTTCTGAGGTGATACAGGTGATTTCTGAGGCAATACGGTGATTTCTCAGGTGATACAGGTGATTTCTGAGGCGATAAGGTGATTTCTGAGGCGATACGGTAATTTCTCAGGTGATACAGGTGATTTCTGAGGCGATACGGTGCTTTCTCAGGTGATACAGGTGATTTCCGAGGCAATACAGGTGATTTATGAGGTGATACAGTTGATTTCTGAGGCGATACAGTTGTGTGTGTATGTTCTGACTTAAAACGTTCGTGACTGCAGGAATTAATATTCTTGGTTCTTTCGGTAAAGTTACAAAGTGTGACCAAAAACCAAGAATATGTTTACGTTCTGATTACTATTTGCCTCATTGCTGCACTGCACTTTATTTTACTTCATTTTACTTTTGTCTCTTTTGGTGACCCGGGGTCACACCTTGCAAACGAGACTCTACCCTCGTCTCTATTGAGTTCTCACCCTGGTTTAAACAAAATAAACGTGGAACTCGCCGACACGCAGGCTGATGCACCGCTAGCTTCAGAGTCCCAAAATGGAGACAACGCCATCTCCTCGCACGTTGCGGACAGCGCTCAAATTGGCGTGTAATTTCCCAAAGCGCACTGACCAAGCGCGGTGAATTAAATTCGACGTGAGGCGCACAGCGGCACACTTATGGCCTTCAGGTCATCATCCAACATTATAAACTATCATCGCTAAATACATTATTGTATACATTCTTCCAGCTGCCGCTTGGGGGCACAATGCCTGACAGAGAGGCTGAAGAATTTGTCAGCTGCCGACGCAACCTTGGATTTGATAACCGCGCTGCTCGACAAAAGGGCTTGAGGCGACACGCGGAGTGGTGGTGCTAAGGATAAGCAAACCAAGCAAAACCTCAGGGCCCCCAAGGGGCTCAATTGGTCCTGCAATCCTTCATGCAGGTATGTACGTTGAACTTATTTCACACCGTACGTTGCCAAACCTTGCATAAAATATGCGTTCGAATAAAAAAAATCCTGGTGAAAAGGAATAATAATGATTTTTAAAAAACACCCTGATGAATCGTTCTCACCCCCTATCTATCGGTGCCGTTACTGGACCGTGCGCAAAAGGATTCCGAACCTGTCAAGACTAATGATGATGTGAATTATTACATGGTCATAATGATGATTACTATTACTTTGTGATGATTAGGATGGTGAGCGATGATTTCATTGTTATTATGATGATGATTATTGGTTAGTTATGAAGATAATTATACGGGCATGATGATAATTACAGAAGTATGATGATAATGGCGATGATGGGATTTTGACTGCATTGTCATTATGATGATTATCACATAGTGATGCTGATTGTAGAAATTACGACCATGGTTGCAAGGTGATGATTATAATGATGATATCGTGATGATGATGAGGTTTAATAAACTCCAACAGAGAGTATTACTCATGACCGTTCGATCTAATTGATTGATATAGTGAGTGAGTGATATTTGGACGAAAACAAAAACAGTAATTTTTAAAGCATTAACTCTTTTTATACGCACAGAAAATCATCGCAAGTTGCCTTTGTATAAAGGAGAATCCTACGTCGGGACGACTGGCCAATTTTGTGAAGATAATATTATTGTAGTGTATGTAATATCATCACAATCGCAATCATGTTTATATATATCTAATCCGAATATATATCAGTGAAAACATAGGCAGCATGTAGCACTTTCTCGATCTTTCCTGCACGCCAATATGCGACACCTGCTATGCGATGAGAAAAGTCTCGATGCCTTGTGCTGCACTTTCAACAGGTGAATGTGCTAATGGAATTCTTGAAAATATATATCTGCTTTACGTGTTATTACCGTATTCTCTGTATTATAGGATGCACCTCAAACTTTTGCCGTTAAATACAGGGAGGAGGGGGGGGGGCATAAAAATCCGGAAAATACGGTAGTTTGTTATTGCATTCGTCATCATGAGCCCAATGATCTATCCACTGCTGGATGAAGGCCTCCCTCCCTAAGCTGACGCCATCCCCCATGATGTTGCTGATGTCAAAGTTGTGTGCGGGGGCAAATGTTGTTGATGCTGTCAATGTTGCTAGACTTTGTTTGTGTTGATGACGACGACGACGATGATGATGATGGTGGCATCACAGACGATGGTGATTGTAACTCAGGCCGCTCATGCTCTCGATTTGGTCGATGCTGACATTGCCGACTGTGTTATAATCCAAAACTCCGGGCATCCTCGCAGCAGCTGTTTTTGGCTAATCATCGAACGAAAAGATGGTCACCGCATAGCGTGTTTTCAGATGCGCTTCTGCAACCATCTGGAATGCTCTTCCTTCCGATATTAGGAAGCCACTGGAGCGTAGCACTTTTAAATCTGAATTGAAAACTCAGAATTAGCTTTTTGTGTTTAGTTTGTTGTCCTTCCCCCGCACCTCCAATAAGTACGAACGGCTACGGTGCGAAAGAAGTTCAACATGACATACCCACTTCGTTGCGGATGGCGCCAATGTTAATTTCATAGGTTCACACATTACGCACATTGGATGGCGTGTGTTAAAATTACATGTTTTCATTCATGTTGTTTGTAATGGGTTCACATCACCCCACAGCCATGTAAAATAAAATTGCAAGGCGGGGGGGGCGTTGGGGGTGGTGCTTGCAGGGGTTGGAGAAGGTTCGATGGAGAATTTGCATTTACAGGGCACTGAACTTAAATTCCTCAGCAACTCAAAGCGCCTCCGTCACATCTCGCCTCAACCTTTGCAATTCCCCGTTGTCGTCTAGCCTAAGGGACCCTCCTCCCCCCAGCGACAAGCCTCCCTGCAAAGTATAGGGAGAAGGCAGCACCAGCCTGCCAATGGGTACACTCTGCTAGAAGGGAGAATTAATTTGGCTTTGTGGTGTATGGGGGTGGGTGGGATTCTTTTCTTTCTCCATTTAAGAAATGTAGTTTTTTAGTCAAATTTCTACCGTGATACCGGTGCACGTGGCCTAACGCCCACTGTGAAGCAGATGGCATGCACTTACGGTGTTTACGCTTTGAAGCTTAAAAAAAACTATTCAAACTAAACTTGTTTTTTTCCAGGTAAGGCCCACTGAGCTTCAGAGCTGTTTTTAAGAAGGGACCTGGCCACAAATGGTAGCCCAACGAAGTGGCTTATCACGTGGAAATTTACAGCAACCATATGCTCTAAACGCACGTTGATTCCAAATTTGGAGGGAAAAACGGAAAAATCCACGCAACCACGGGGAGAGAGACACACAAACTCCAAATATAGAGCAGGCGTAAGGGTCGGAATCGAACTCATGACCTCCCATACACGAGGCGAGGCAGTTAGCATCTTACGCTCGCAATATTATTCAGGGCGACCTATGGGCTCATGCCTCGCAACAAGTGGCAAAAAAACACGCATCTGCTGGGCCAAGTCAGTGCTGTCGCCGTCGTTGTTGGCACTCACCTCCACCAGGGAGGCCGTCATCGCTGAGAGGCTGAGTGGCTGTTTCTCCAAACAGGACTCCATTCACGGCCTGCAACACAAAAGAGACAGAGATGAGCCACGGCTGCGACGCGCGAACATCCACTAGACGCCTCCCGTCGCCACGGCCGCAGGCAGTGCCGACCAATCGCCTCCGCGATTGCGAGTGCTGCAGAAATTTCTCTCTTATTCCCGAATCGTTTCTTTGTTGCCATAAAATGTATGGGGCCGGTAATTTTGTGGCCACCAACATTTGAAATTCCCCTTTAGAATTTTGGGCTTCAAGGTTTTTTTTAGAGCTGGAAGCAAGGCCGTCCTATTTCACCAGTGCTAGCAGAAGTGCCTCTAGTCGAAGGTGCTCCAAACAGCCGCTCTAGTGGAAGCTATTTTGGCATCCTCTTACACCCTGGCTAGACGTCTTGGGAGAAGCGTCATTATCCTCACTTTACCAGAGCACTTACGCAACCTGCTAATCAACTTACTATGACTTAACCATTTATTCTGCTGGGTGTACAGAGGCAGGAGGATTTAAGAAACGTGCACTATCGTGTAAGTCAGGGTTTATTCTGCCAGAAAAGGAGGCAGGGATTAATTATAAGCTATGCACACATCATGACCTATGACCTGGGGTCCGAACAAACAGCGATAACAATTTTGAAAGAAAACTAATCTTGTGGGATTTTAGAAATTGTTAACTCTCTCCACATTCCTCTGAAGAGAAATTTAATTGAGAGTTTGGGAATAGTATTTGTGAATGAAAACAAACATCTGGGGTATTGCACACGCATATACCGATTGTTTCGGGGTTGATACAAAAATGCGATGTTACAGGAAGTGTGCATCACTTCAATGGTGTCACGTGTGGAATCTTCTCACCAAAGTGGCGTCGAGTTGGCAATGGGTATTGTCACTTTTGTTGGCAGAAAGAGACGCTAAATTATTAAATGATGCCAATCATCTTAAAATCTGAAAACATATCCCAAATTGTCCTTCAGGTTACGAAAAATAAAATTTATTTCCATCGGACATCCATCCATCATATTTATTATTCATGAGAGCACCCTTCACAATAGAATTGTCACAGAGAGGTTCACAAGTAAAGAAAGAGAGAGGGTGCGTGCACGTATGTGTATGTGAATGTTTATGGGGAGCGGTAGTATAGCGGTATTGGAATAGTTAGCGCGCTGCGCAACGAACATGGCAACCCGAGTTTGAATCCCGCTCACGACCAATAACTAGAATATCTGAACCGGTGCTGGTCAACTTAGCCCTAAACGTGTGTGAACATCGACACGAGGGAGACAAAGGCGGCCGGGCGTGGTGTTGGCCTCCTCCATATGTGCTCGCCAACAGCACTTGCCTCAACAATCCACTGAGGCTACACAGGGGACCTGTGCCTTGTGGCAGTTTTATGTTGTCGCTGTTGTGGACATTTACCAGGCCGAGGGCGTCCCCTGCGTTGTGCACGATTGGCCGGATGCTTCTCTGTGTGCGGGGAGGCGGAGTCTGGGGTCGGGGCCGACTCTTGAGGCCAAGCCCAACGGCCCGAAGGTCGGGCGCCGGGTCGCCTCGAGCCTGCACGCGGAACGGGACGGGGGGAGGGGGGCGGCGTCACAATGGCGGTCATCGTTTTTTGAGCCGAAAGCTCGACGGTCGGTTTAAAAGGAGGACGCCGAGGTGGGGGGCCCCGGCGGGACTTTTCACTTCCCGAGCGCCGCTCGCCGTCAGTCGGACAGCTGCAGAGGGGCATCCGTTGAATTCAGGGCAGCCAGGAAGTGACGTTGTCTGTCGGAGACTGAGGACAGTGGCGGCAGAATCGATTGGCCTTTGTCCGGCAAGTGAAAATGAAAAAATACATGTTAAAGTGTGCACTTTTCTTTTCCCCTCCTCGAGTTTTAGCCCAATTGTGCTGCGGAAGAGTCACGGGATCAAGACTCCATTTGTATCTCTCGGACAGCGGTGCAGCCCTCCATGTTAGAGGCAGGCTCAAGGAAGGCAGCGCCAACTGCAAACCTCTGAGATCGTCACACGTGGCCTCTGTTCCACACAATATGGAGCAGCACTCTGAACTAAACTATTTTCAGGTAAGGCCCGCTGAGCTGTACAGCTCTTTTTCAGAAGCGACCTGGCCACAAATGATAGCTCAACGAAGTGGCTTATCGTGTGGACATTTAGAACAAGCCGAATACTCTCCACGCACGTTGACCCGGAGAAAAATCCATGCGACCACGGGGAGAGAGAACATGCAAACTCCATATTTATATCGACACCACGAACTCCTGCATACTAAGCGAGGTAGTTAACATCTCACCATCGCTCTCCCACTGGGAATAATGTTCATCGCATGGCAGGCAAACCTATAAATATATAGCAGTCTCAGAGCTGGAATTTAGCAAAAATAAAGTAAGGGACCAAATTCAATGTGATCAAATGTGTGCAGTCATTGGTGACCGGGCTGAGATCATCGGTTCACTCCACGCGAAAGCTCGGTTTAATCAAAGGCAAATCGAAACCTGTATTTGAACCGAGGCTCTCAGCTGTGCCGGCTCCACGCTGTGACCTCTTGAGACACAAAAGTTGTCTCATCCAGATAATAAGGTGATCATGGAGGTGCACTCTTTTTTTCCCCCTTATATTTTTTACCAAAAGTCAGGGGTTGCATCTTGTAGTCCAGTGAGTGTGTGTGTGACCAACGCGGTAGTGTAGCAGTTAGCATACTGCGCTATGAACCCGGCGACCCGAGTTCAATTCCCGCTCACGGTCAACACCAGTGACGATTATCTGAACCGGTGTGTAGGTCGACTCAGCCTCAAATGAGGACCTGGTGCGGTGTGTAGTAAACATCGCCACTGGGGAGGCGCGGTGCTGGCCACCCACCCCCTTGTGTGTCGTGCCGGCCTTCAAAGGTGCTCGCTGACAGCACTTGCACCCAACAGCCTGTTAAGGCTATACGGGGGATCCTTGTGTTTGTGACCAGATCGGTTTAACTTTATTGGCACTGGCCACAAGTTTGAGGTGCGTCTTTACTTTCCGGCAGTGTGTCATAATTCGGAGGAATAAGGTAGCATTCAGACGGAACTATAATCATCCACCCAGCAGGCGTTCAAAAATATGGCGAGGGAAATAATTTCCGCATATGCGCATAAATTGCGGAGAACAGAGTCAACAGCACGGACGGAGGCCAAAAAAAAATCCAAACTTGTAACGCGCGGAGTGCGTGACGGTTAACTTGTGAGCGCACATTGGCTCGCCAAGCCACTGGCGAATAGCCCAGCAGGGAACCAAATGAATTCCCCATGAGGGATGCGCGGTCTGAAATTGCTGACTCCAAGACTCGTGCACGTGCACAACAGCGACAATAAGAGGAGATTTAATTTATTAATCTAGGAAAGCATCAACGAGTTTCTACAGTCTTCCGCATTGAGACAAATCGCGAAATCGCCGCCGACGTTACGATCCATCGTTTATGTTTTTTTGGGTTAAGCCACATAACTGTCTGAGCAGATTTCACGTCGTTAAAAACCTTACCACCACTCGACACGGACAAACTAAATCAAACCACCGTGCGACATACGAGAGGCGTTCTAACGACGAACGCTTCGGACTCGCTGGCCGGCGAGCCGAAGGCCGGTTCTCACAACCAAATCTAGCGGCTGTCGTACGTGGGTACGCTGAAACTCCTTTCGCACCGTACGTAGCCAACCGTGATAATCGGAGGCGCGTTAGACACGTGACGGTTCGTTTGAAACTGCGTCAAACATCATCAGGGCACGTAACAGGAAGTCAGAATAACGGCATTGTGGGAATTGCAAGAAAATATCTTGAGAAGTGAAGGGCATGATTATTATTTGAATTTAAAGCTTTCGTGACTGCAGAGATCCATATTCTTGGTTCTTTCGGTAAACCACAGCAAGAAAATTTTCTTGCTGTGATTTTCACACCTGATGATGATTGCTTGTGTTGCAATCGAAACGTCGTGAAAATGTAATTGTTTTAATTTCATTTTTTTATTATTTCCCTTCTACGTGACTTGACCGAAAGAACCAAGAATATGATTATTATTGTTGTTCGTAGAGACGCTACCGTGGTGTAACGATCGGCACACTGGGCTTGCAATTCAGAAGTCGGACGACACGGCAGTTGAAACAATGGTGTGAATTTCTCAAATCCCTGCCCTCTGTCTCTGTCCACCCAGCATCAGCGCACACGGGTTCACCACAGTCGGTGGCAGGTCACATGTGGTGGGGTAAAAGTGTGGATACTCCCACCTCTTCCAGGCTGTCTGGCCAGCATGAAAGAGTAGGCCAAATACCATCTATAGGGGCTCTACAGAGCTCCTTATAGTGGTGGGCTCTTTTGTCAGCAGTGGCGTGGTGGCGAGATGTTAACTACCTCGCCTGGTATGCAGGAGGTCGTGGTTTCGATCCCAACCCAGAAACTTGTATATTTGGAGGTTGCGTGTCTGTCTCCCCATGGCCACGTGGATTTTCCTCCGAGTCCTCCGGTTTTTCCATACACATTTAGAATCAGCGAGCGTTTAGAGTGTTTAGCTGCTATAAATGTCCACACGATCAGCCACTTTGATGAGCTTTAATTTGTGGCCAGGTCGCTTCAGAAAAACAGCTACACAGCTCAGTGGGCCTTACCTGGTGAAATAAAAATAGTTGAATACAAAAATAGTTTCATTATTATTAAATCAGGGCAAAGTGTCAATCATACTTTCTTTCATCAACTGACCATGACCGTAACCTCCTAGACTTGACCCTAAACTTGACCCTGAGCTTTACCTTGCTGACTCCCGTCACACGCCGGTTGCGGAAGAGGCCAAAGGAGCGAGCGGGCTTCTCAAGACCCGGAGCGGCGTCTCCCCTGCCCGGACCGGACTCTTCACTCCCTGGCCTGGTCTCTGGCAAACCTGGACCGGATTCCCTGTCGATCCTGTAGCAGTAGGAATGCACAGACGCTCAGTTAAGGCATCGTCAATTCCACGCTTCGTGCTTCTAGAACCCAGCCACAAATTCGCATGGTACAAAAATCCCAGATGTTTAATGCTATACCGTTGTGTAAATGTGTCGGTATCCAAACCCACTGGTCCTACGTATATAAAATGTTACGTATATATTTAATCCTGTCCGAAATTCTAAAGTTGCATCCCTGTAACATGACAGGTAGCAGTGGCTTTCCTGAGGTCTTTATCCAGCAGATAATTAATCATGGCCAATAATGATGGCAATCATGATGATGCTGCCTTTTTCAATTGCGTCTTTACACCCTAACCGCTTGGCAGATGTGCTCGCTAAAATTCCCCACAGGGGCCCCCTACGGTATAGTTGTCATGGATTCAGGGTTTCCATTCGAGAATTATGTTTTTGTTATCGGCGGTGTTCGTACACTTGTGGGGTTTTTGTTGGCTGGCAATGTACAGGCTGAGTGGGAGCAGGCAGCGAACGACGAGGCTTAGCCAGCTATGGAACGAGGATGGAGAAGATTGCGAGGTTGGACATCTGTGAAGAAGAGCTTGATGGCTCATTGGATACCCTCAGTATGAATACATCTTCTGATCCTGATTCTGCAGCGATGTTGTACAGAGTGGCAGGTCGACTCAGCCTCAAATGAGTAAACATCGGCACAGAAAGGTAGCCGGGCATGGGTGTTGGCCATCCGCCCCCTCGTGTGCCGTGTCAGCCTTCATAGGTGCTGCTCGCTAACAGCACTTGCCCCAGCGGCCTGTTAAAAGCTACACGGGGGGGTCGTTGTCATTGTGTGGCTGCACACACACACACGCACAACAACAACAACCGCCATTCGCCACCAAGTGGTGGTGACGTCACCACGACGCCTGTGCCAGGCCAGGTGCACGTTGAGGCCACATGAAGTGTCGAACGCCCACTGTCAGGAGGTCACGGGGCAGACCCAGGTGCCACGGGTCGACTGACTGAGATGACCGAGATGACTGGCTGATGCACCACCTGTGCCCCCTACTGTGCCAACTTGCTGTGCATTAGCCACCCGCACACACGCACATGCACACGCACGCACACACATGCACATACACGCACACACGTGCGTGCGTGGCCCCGATAGGTACTCACTCGCGGAGGAAGTCGTAGATGGAGAGGCCGCTGTGATTGGGCCTCGTGTCTGAGCCGGAGCGACCCTGTATGCCCGCACTGCACACCGTCACATCACCACAGCACCACATCAGCAGCAGCAGCAGAAACAACAGCAGCAGCAGTACCATCTGTAGCAGCAGTAGTGGCAACACCATGAGCATTATTTTGACCGGCATCGGTCGAAGTCAGCAGTGGCATCATGATCACCATTGGCATCACCAACAACATGATGATGATCATCAGCAGCTCTAATATCATCATCACCATTAGCATGCGCATTACCGTTGTGTTCATAATAGTCGTCAGCCACAGCATAAACTTCATCAGCAGCATAATTATCATTAGCTTCTTCACTATCACCATGATCGTCATCACAATTATCATCGTCATCGCCAACGACAGAAATCATCGTCGGTATCATTAACGTCATCAGGATCATCAATATTATAATAAGTCATCAGCAGCAGCAATGTTACCAACAGCAGTATCATGACCATCATCACTATCATCATCATCATCATCAGCAGCAGCAGTGTCACCAACAGCAGCATCATCAGCAGCAGCAGCACCCTGTAGCTAAGCAGGTGAGAATCGACAGACGTGTTGTCTTGCAATTTCAGGAGAGGCAATGGGGTCACAGCAGCGGTGCTGAAGTGTTTTTCATCCGCTGCGGGTAACCATGGAAATCTTGCCAGCATTTGTTTTTTTTCTGTAGCAGGTAATTTTCAGATTACGGTCCTGACAACCGTGCTCAATTGGACTCTTATTTCACACGTTGGTTGCTGGCTAATTCCCAACAGATATGAATAAACTTTTTTTTAAAAACTCAACGATAAAAAAACAACTCAAGTAAACAAAAAAACTATTCAAAACTAAACTATATTTTTTATTTTACCAGGTAAGGCCCACCGAGCTATATACACCTTTTTCAGAAGCGACTCGGCCACAAATGATAGCACAACGAAGCGGCCTATCGTGTGGAATTTTATTGCAGCCAACTACTCTAAACGCGTGGTGTTGATTCTAAATGTGGAGGGAAACACCAGAGGACCCGGAGAAAAATCAACGCGACCACGGGGAGAGAGAGACATACAAACTCCAAATATACAGCAGGCATCAGGTATCGGGATCGAACCCACGACCTCATTCAGACGCTGTCTTTCCGACAGACCTGTTCTTCACCTGAGGACGGCTGCTTGCGTTGTGGCCGAAACGTCGTCAGAATAATTTTATTATGTTTTATTTGTATTATTTTATTATTTCCCTTCTACGTGACTTTCCCGAAAGAACCAAGAAGACCACGACCTCCTGTATACCAGGCGAGGTAGTTAACAGCACTGGACTTACTCGTGCTTCCGGATCAGCTCCTGCAGCTGCTGAAGAGACGACCTGTAGGCACACACACAAAGACAAAGATCCCCCACATTAGCCTTTCATAGACTGTAGGGTCAAGTGCTGTTATCGAACACCTGTGAAAGGCCGGCACAGCAAACGAAGGGGTGGGTGGCCAGCACAGCGCTCGGCCGCCTTTGTCTCCCCAGTAGCGATGTTTACTCATCGCACCGGGTACTCATTTGAGGCCGAGTTGACCCAGGCGAGGCCCATAACCAGTTCAGACAATCGTCACTGGTGTTTGGCCGCGAGCGGGAATCTAACCCGCTTCACCGGGTTCGTAGCGCAGCGTGCTAAACGCTACACTTCCACTCCCCCAGTGCGTACATGGACGCACAGGTCAAACACAAAGTAAAATCTCTGCTCCTTCAGCATCGATAGACTGCTGGGCCAAGTGCTGCCAGCAAGGGATGATTGCGGTCGGCATGAGACATGGAGTGGCGGCAGTAGTGGCAGTGGTGGTGGGGGGGGGGCTGATGCCAAACACTCATCTCTCTCTCCCCTACAGCGGTCGTTATTATATAACTTTTGAGACGTTCGACCTATTAGTATAAACGAGTCGTAACTTTTTGGCCACTCCACCACCGCCCCCTGCTGCGAAGGTTTCCTGCCTTGGTTGGGAAGTTTGAGATGTGTAGCAGACCCCGTGAACTCATTTCTCTGTTATTGTGGTCACTTGTTTGTTGTTTGGGCTTTTAGTTTCTGTGCCATTGCATGGTGGTTAGGGTGTTCATTTGTTTGGTAGTGGCTGTATATGGGATTTGGTCCTCATATATAATTAATGTAGATCGTTATGGGATGCTATTAGCATTAATAGTATTATCATTAAGTACCAATGTTTAGGCTGAACTCCATTCTATGTCTGCACGTTGTATATACGCTTATCGTTTAGTCGATCAGCCTACTGGCTTTCAAGAGGCAATCCAATTCATAAGCAGTTTCGACCTTTGGGGTCTCATCAGCCGTCAGGTTTTTTTTTTCAGATGCACTACTGCGGCAATCTGGAATGCGGTTCCTTCCGATATTAGGCAGCTTGCTGGAGCTATGCACTTTTAAATCTCAATTAAAAACTCATTTCTTCAGAATTACTTTTTGTGTCCTTCCCCCGCACCTCCGATTAGCGTGGATGGCTACGTACGGTGCGAAAGAAGCTGAGCTGCTTACTAATATAAATGTTGCTGGATAATATTGGTTTGGAAAGGCAATTATGCCAGTGGACTTGATGAGTTTGTATACACGTTTTTAGGCTGTGTTGACCTAAGGGAAGGCCACGCCAGGTTCATGATGATTAAGGCGCATGAGCAGGAATGGAACTCCAGTCACTGGAGGTTGTCGGGTAGCATCAACGAGCATGCACCACGCAAGAGAACATTAGGTGGGAAAATTGTATTATTTTTACACGCTTTCTATTAACTCACCCTGTCTGTTGTTGTTGTGGTTGTATCCTGAAAGCCTTGTAACTCAATTTTAACACACTTCCCAATGTGGTATCGACTGCAAACTTGGTATACTTATGTCATATTGATGGCAATAGTATATTCTATCATAAAAAATAAATACTTTGAAACAATCTTTTTAATATGTTATATTTCGGCTTGGGTCTAATTGTCCACGCTCAACTGACGTTGGCTGTAAATCACCACGGCCCATTACGTTATGGCAAGCTTCGGGGCCACTTCCTGGAGTCGTGGAGTTCTTCCATTACTCGTACGGTACATTTAATTAAAGCGTGTATTTTAAAAGTTTTTTTTATATATATAACTTATAAGCACAGAGTTGGCCATGATCGGAGGTGGCTGAGTGGCTCAGGGGTCAGAGTTTATAGGTTCAAGAGGGGTGCCACGGTGGCTAGGAGATGTCATCTTCCTCGCCAACTATACAGGAGGTCGTGGGTTCAATCCCGACCCTGACGGCCGTATATTTGGAGCTTGCGTGTTCTCCCTGTGGTTGTTTCGTATTTTCTCCGGGTCCTCTGGTTTTTCCCTCCGCATTAAGAACCAACGATAAGCCGCTTTGAGGAGCTATCATACGTGGACAAGTCGCTTCTGATAAAAGAGCTCTACAGCTCTGTGGGTCCTACCTGGCAAAAATAAAAAAAGTTGTTCAGTTTAGTTTAACAGTGAAAGCGATCTCTCGAACCGGCAATTTCGGATCGTGCAATTAATGATACCCGACGGCCGCGTGCCAAAGCATCGTTCGTTTACCGTTTGGACTGCCCATCTTCGGTTTCACCGAGGGGCTCGCTGGTGCCTGCGCAAAGGACAATGGGTGAGAAGGACGACACAGAACACCGTTAGCCGGCACGTGCAGCGGATGAAGCACAGTGTACGTAATATATATCGGCATCGCAACGATTTCCTGCGTACACCGTATACACCACGGGGGGGCAACTGCTCTCGAGCGAGCAGCATCTATAAAGGCGAGCACGGAGGTGGTATGGCCAGCTGCCAAGCACCACGCCTGGCTGACTTTGTCTCCCCAGGGCTCATGTTAACAGACCGCACCACCTGGACTCGTTTCTCGACCAAAAGGCCCGAATGAAGGCCCCAGGACTGGTTAATTCGCCGCTGACGTTAGCCGTGGCACAGGACTTCAACTCTGGTGGCTGGGTTTCGTATTGCAGTGCATCAACCACTGTGCCATCACACTGCTGGTTGCAGAGAGACAGGAGATGAAATGGAACCGGTCACCTCTGGATTTAGAATCAGAATCTTTATTTAGGCTGCAGGAGGAACCTGATGAGCTAAGAAGCTCTTTTTCACGGAAGTTCAGCAAAATTACGACAACACTTTTACTAAAACACGATAGGGGGTGCAAAGCATAGGTAAGGTAAGTCACTACAAATAAATATTTTAACAAAATAAAGGACACAGGTACAAATGACAAAAGTCTATCAATTCCTGCCGGGTTTTTTTCTCACCATAAATGCACGCTCGGGCAAGGCAGCAAAACAACAGCAACAGCAAACAACAGCCCCAGACCACGCCGAAAGACAACAACGCACAGTAGCCCCTCTAAAACAATGGCCCTAAAAGATTTAACTTTTGATACGCGGGCAAGGATCAAAGTCACCAATCGCATTTTGGCAGCAAAATGGGATTTGCCGCCCCGTTAGTTGCAAGCCACGGCGTGCCGCTGACCATTACGCGACCACGGCAGCTCCCTGCGCTGCTCAGTCGCAGAGCGGAGCACGCCGTCGCGTGCGCCGCTCTGGAGTTTTCTCCTGCGTGCGGTAAACCGGCAAAGAGCTTCGTCTCCACTCGGCTATCGCCGGTGGGTGTCGTGACCGATAACGGTACGGAGTAATGACGCCGATATGACAGGTGCGTCAATCGATACGAGGTGGGGGGTAGGCCTGATGGAAAGAGAAGACCGTCAAGCTGAGAGTTAATTAAGGAGAATATAGCAGAGACACGGGAAGAGAACAGCATTGATTCAGTCTGGCAGACAGTGATAAATGTGGCACAGAGTGAGAGCTGTGGCTCAGAGTGAGAGAAACGAGGCTCCACGACGCTCACTGTGCTCCTCCGTGGTCTCTTATAGCTGGTAACGGGGGGGGGGGGGGGGGGGAAGAAAAACATAAAACAAAAACACACGGATACACACTCAAAGGTTGCTCACGCAGCCTTCGCAGACTGGCGGGGCAAGTGCTGTCAGCGAGTGGCACCTATACAGACACGTGCACAACGGAAGGTCAAAGCGTTGAGAGAGCCGGAATTGAGCTTTCACCTGTGCTGCCGCCACCATGGAAACCCTCGGCCTGGTGGGGACACGAGGGAGCCTCCTCGGTTGACCCCATCTCCTGAAACACCTCGTCACGTGGCCTGGCAAGACAAAGATAAGAAGATCCCCCCGTGTCCTTCGAGAGCAACACCTATGAACGCCGGCACGGCACACGACGGGGTGGGTGGCCAGCACCATCCCCGGCTGCATTTGTCTCCCCAGCGCTGGTGTTTACACACCACACCAGGTAATCATTTGAGGCCCAGAACCGGCTCAGATAAATCGTCGCCGGTGTGGGCCGTGAGCGGGAATCGAACTCGTAGCGCGGCGTGCTAACCGCTACACCACCGCTCCCCACACACGCACACAGCTCCATACGTACGGAAAGCTACGCTACGTCCCAAGTTTGTGCGGCATGGTCTCGCTTTCAGTCAATGCCGTCCCGCTGTTCCGAAGCAATTTTTGTGAACATTTTGGATTTTTGTCCTCCGGTTTGAAATGTTGTGAGCGCACGTTCGACTGACGACACGGGGCGAAGCGACGGGGCTACCCAAGTAGTGGGCGCCGTTGGCAGAGGAGTGGGCAGGCTCTATGTGAGCAAAGCCTGGGCTCGGTCAAGGTCATAAGTAGCCTAAGGTGAAAACTTTATACTTTTTAAAAAAGTATAAAGTCATCAAACATACTTATTTATTTACCCATGTAAAATTAACAAATCCATTCGACTGGGAAGCAGTAGTGTATCGGTTAGCACACTGCACTACGAACCACTCCTGGGCCTTCCCTAGGTCAGCTCAGCCTCAAATGAGTACCTGGTGCGGTGTGTAAACATCGCCACTGGGGAGACAAAGGCGGCCAGGCATGGTGCTGGCCACCCACTCCTTCATGTTCCGTGCCGGCCTTCATAAGTGCTCGCTAACAGCACTTGCCCCTACAGTCTGTTAAGGCTATACGGGGGATCTTTGTTTTGTGCGTGCGTGTGTGTGTGTGCATGTGTGCATGTGTGTGTGCCGTGTGTGTGCGTGGGCATGTGGGCATGTGCGCGCGCACGTGTGTGTGTGTGTGTGCACGTGTGTGTGTGCGTGTGTGCATGTGTGTGCGTGTGTGTGTGCGTGTGTGTGCGTGTGTGAGTGCGCGCGCGTGTGTGCGTGTGTGTGCGTGTGGTCCTCACTGGCAGGGCAGGCTCGAGGGCCTCCGTGCCGCCGTCACGGGGGCCGGCTTCCCCGCGGCGGGTTGGGGGAGCTCCCAGCTGTGCCGCCTGCTCGCCATGGGGGGGGCCTCGGGAGGACACCGCCTGGGGGGGCCTGGTTCCCCCATCAGGCCCGGCACTGCACACGCGTCACAACGCACCAACGACGACGCGGCAAGAGGCGGTGACGCGCGCAACACGGCACGTGGAACGCAAATCGTGCAACGAGCGACATTAAAACGCGCGTATGTTGAACTCCTTTTGCACCGTACGTAGCCAACCGCGCTAATCGGAGACTGCAAGGGAGGGACAAGAAACTAAACACACACAAAAACAGTTCTAAAGAAATGAGTTTCACATCTCAATTTAAAAGTCCAAAGCTGCGGTGGCTTCCAAATATCGGGCAGGAAGAGCGTTCCAGACGGCCGCAGAAGCACGTCAATGATTAGCCAGAAGCTGCCGCTGCGAGGATGATCGGAGTTCGCGTGATGGTTTATGCTCCTCGACGAGGTCACCAAGGTATTGTGGTCCATTTGTGGCAAGCACTTTGTGCGTTTCGCGGTCAGACACCGTAATGCGGACGGACATGGATTGGAGCGTGCGTGCGGCAATGGCAAAGGGGGACAGCGATCGTGAACTCCTCGATGCGTAGTGGGTAAGATACATCACCCCCCCCCCCGCCCTCATACTTCCACAGGCTGTCCACTCAGCACTATTAATGGACACACCATGGAAGTTCTAGATTTGAAGCTTTCGTGACTGCAAGGATTAATACTCTTAGTTCTTTCGGTAAAGTCACGTAGGTAAAAAATGAAATAAAAATAAATAAAAAAAGTCACGACGTTTCGGAGGCAACACAAGCTTCCGTCTTCAGGTGAAACTGTCACAGCAAAATATCTGTATCAAGTGAAGAGAAGTCCCAAGAGGTACGACCTTATATAGTGGTTAAGGGGGGAGGAGCCAGGAAGAGCCGCGGGGGAGGAGGAGTTGTGAAGTGGTCAAGTACTGCTTTTTGTTATGCTGCTGGGTGGGTAAATTAATTAAATACGATTAAGCCGCATTTTGTTATGCTGCTGGAGAATACTGTTAAACGCTGGGGTAGAGTGTGGGCACTACCACCTCTGACAATGTCTGGCCAGTGTTTGGAGCTTAGTTGATTTGTTACAGCGTGGAAGAGTAGGCCAAAAACGTAGCTCAAGAGGGGGGCTCTTTTGAGCTCAGTCTAATGAGAATATAGTCCAGAATCGAAATCTTTATTTAGACTGGAGGAATCCGGTGAGCTAAAAAGTTCTTTTTCTCAGATGTCCAGTCGGGGCATGGGACCAGAACGAAACAAAAACATCTTCTTGGTTCTTTCGGTAAAGTCACGTAGAAGGGAAATAATAATATAATAAAAATAAAACATAATAAAATAATTCTCACGACGTTTCGGCCACAACGCAAGCAGCCGTCCTCAGGTGAAGAACAGGTCTGTCGGGAAGACAGTGTCCGAATTATTTTATTATGTTTTATTTATATCATTTTATTATTTCCCTTCTACGTGACTTTACCGAAAGAACCAAGAAGATGAATCCCTGCAGTCACGAAAGCTTTAAATCGAAAAATACAAAAACAGGATAGGAGTGCAAAGTATAGGAAAGGAAAGAAAAATCACAACAATAATACTAATTAAAATAAACTATTTTTTTTAATTCCAGGTAAAGCCCACTGCCCTATTAGCTTCCTTTTCAGAAGCGACCAGGCCACAAATTTTTGCTCAACCAAGTGGCTTATAATGTGGAAATTCATAGCAGCCAAATCATCTAAATAATCTAAACGCGTGTTTATAAATGTGGGCGAGTGTGTGGGGGGGGGGGGAGGGAGCCAGAGTGAGGGTTTGAGCGTGGCCGGGTGGCTTTTTTTTTGGTGAGACCTTGACTTCCCTCCAGGACTGCGCCCACAACTAAACAAGGGGCAATGCGGCTGCCGTGTACGATACGTCACGGGCATTTCGTGTCGATAAACAACTTCATGCGTGTGCTCGCCTCTCTGCGCGTACACAAACTCGCTACGCACAAACGGACTCCACCACACACACGAGGCTTGCCCCTCTTTTCTCTCCGCCTGATGACGTCCGCTTGTGTTGCGATCAAAACGTCGTGTGTTTTAGGTTTTTTATTTAAATTTTGTGGGGTTTTTTTATCGACGTGACTTTACCGAAAGAGCCAAAGAATGCAACTCTCTGTGTCAGGGGAAAAACTCACTGAAATCGACAGCTCTAGACCGAAGCCTCCGCGTGATTTGTGTGCTGAGCACTGTGCCCGGGTTTAGCTTTTCGCTGCGCTAGGGAAATGTTGCCTCGGCTCCAATGGTGTTGAGCGTTCATTCAGTCAGCACATTTTTTTACTTATTGTAGTGTTGAGTAAAAGTCTGAGCCTGGTTGACTAAAGCAGCGACACATTGAGTCGGCTTCTTGGCTGTCGGATGTTGACGCGGCATGAGCGGGATTGCGTCCCTGCAATGTTTATCTGGTCGATCAATCGGCGAACTCTGTCAAATATATATTTTTCTACAGATATAAACACACAAAACACTGTACATGTATAGTCAAGTTCCTTTGTGGGGCCTCCTCAGCGCAGTGCCAGTAAACGATGTTTACGTCTGTGAATAATCTTAGTCTGCGTCTTCAGTCAGACTATGGTGACAGATTTCATTTCTTCACAACCAGTCACACTTTGGCCATCAAGTGGTCGTTGTAGACACCGTCACAGTTTACACGACTCTTCATCCGCTTATAATCACGTGCTTGACGGTAGGAAAATAAAAATAAACACCAACCCACTTCACTGGCAAAAAGGAACGAGGTTCAACAAAATTCTTGAACAAAATCTGACAGTGACCATGGTGTGGCTAAAACGCAACGCCTTCGTCGGCTTATAAAAAACCCGAGCGCAAAACGGCCCGACCACCACGCTTGCTGCAAAGATGCAGCAGCCACATGAGCAGAGGTCGCAAACGGGTTTTGATTCCTTACCCGTACCCGTACCCGGCCGCACCAGGGTCGCAATCGGGTACCCGTACCCGTACCTGACCGTACCCTACCCGTACCCGGCCGGGTACGGGTAGGGTACAGGTATCGAGTACCTGATTGCGACCTCTGGGATGAAGCCATGTTGAAGGCGCGGGTGGGTTGATTCTAGGAACTTGAATTGTGAGAAGAGACAAGACGTTGGGAAATGAGTGACAAACGGTTACTCACCAGTGGCTCACGGCCTACCCGTACCCGGCCCTACCAGGGTTGCAAACGGGTACCTGTACCCGTACCCGGCTGGGTACGGGTAGCCGGGTATCGGGTAGGGTACGGGTATCGGGTACCCGGTTGCGACCTCTGCACGGGAGCCGCTGCTGCCCGTCACAGTTACGGGCATATGAATGGCCCTCAAAAGGACTGGGGTGAGGCCTTCATGCTCAGTAATAATAAAATACTACAAATATTAAAGTACATTCGGTATTCATTCGCGCCGTTCTCATAGTCCAAAAGCTATCACGAAGACACGATGCTTCCGAGACATAGGTAAGTAGTCAGAATCGGAATGTCTCATGATTCAGATGCAATGTTCGCCGCAGTGTGCGGCGGTATCCCAAATGGGTAGTTTTGCGGTGGGATTTTTTTTTCTAATTTTGACGCCAGCACAAGGGGTCTACTCATTTAGAATAACGTCGCGAGATCTTTAACGTCCACTGTGAAGCCCCAACAGTCTGGAACGATATCCCTCTGCGCATTCGCAGCATCACCTCAATCGCCTCCTTCAAGAGAGACTTAAAAACTCACCTCTACAATAATGCTTTCGAGCGACTCTGAGCTTGGCTCCGCGCCTCCGAGTTGCGGCCACTACGTCTGCAAATTTGCGCGCGTTACAAATTGAACTATTATTATTATTTTGTTACGGTTAATACGCCTGCTAATATTAACCAGGATGGCCTGCCGGATACAGAATCAGAACCTGATGGAGCTATGAAGGTAAATTTCACAGATGTCCAGCAGGGGTTAGGGGTCAACCAGTGACATCGACAAAATTGTGAAAAAACGATGGCGTGCCACGGTGGCGAGATGTTAACTACCTCGCCAGGTATACAGGACGTCATGGGTTCGATCCCGACCCTGTTGTATATTTAGAGTTTGAATGTCTCTCCTCGTGGTCGCGTGGAATCTTCTTTGGGTCCTCTGGTTTTTCCCTCCACATTTAGAATCAGCATCATGGCGTTTAGAGTGTTTGAATGTTATATATTTCCACGTGATAAGCCAAGTCGTTGAACGATCATTTGTGGCCAGGTCGCTTCTGAAAAAGAGCTGTGGAGCTCAGTGGGCCCTACCTGGTAACTTAAATGAAATAATAAAATAAGTCGCTCAGGTACTAATTACTGTACACAAGTAGCAAGCCTCTGAAAATCAGCGGCGATCACGCAAAACTTGCACAAACAGAGATGACATTCTCTGTTCCTCCAAGAGCGCATTCAGTGGATAGAACACATATTCACTTTAAGATGTTTTTTGTTCATGTTTTTGTTTTTTGTTTGTTGCGGTTGCACCCGATTCAAGAGCCGAATGGCTCACAGGGCTATACCTAATAAATGAACTTGAACTTGAAACTTGAAATCTTGAATACAGTACATGTACTGTCCATATATTAATGGTTAATAGTATTATGTACGTACAAATATACAGTGTATGCGTATATAAATATACGAGGGGTGTAATGATTTGTTCTAAATTTGTTGACTAATATCGATTAATACGGCCCATGATAAATGCATAGAAATTGCATGCGTAAGAATATTTTTCATTTTTAAATCCTTTATATTAAGTTCGCGTGCTTGCTTGCTTGCTTAGGACCGTGCAAATCTTTCGGTCGTTTTTTAACCCACTTCCCGTGATCCAATCGAGCTGACATTTTCCACACAGACTCGTTGTGTGTGACAATTAATTTTCGTGAAAAAAAATCCAAAATTTTACACTGTTTAGGGAAAACAAATTAAATATTTAATTACCAATTGCTTAATGGTGGCAGACAATCATCTGACCCATAGGTGGCAACCATCTCAAGCCAGAGGACGAGAGGACTCTAGCCGCCACGCATATAAAGGATTTATAGTGAAAAACTTTGTTTTTACGGGTTTACTTGTTTTCAATTTCTGCAAACGGCATGCAAACGGTGCGCTTGTGTTACATGCAGGCCTCCAGAGTGAGCAAAACTGTAACAACGAGACGGGAAAAGTATGAGCAGGAACAATACAATCGAGGCGGCAAAAAAAAATTGTTTAATTTCCTGTCCTGGCTAGCCATCGAACCACTACGGTGACCGCATCGCGCTCCTGCGACCGTCTGGAACGCTCTCCCTTCCTATATTAGGGAGCCACTGGAGCTGTGCGCTTTTAAGTCCTCGATTGAAAACGAATTTCTTTAGAATTATATATTTTTCGTCTAGTTTTTTGTCCACCCTCCTCCCGCACCTCCGATTTCACACGGTTGGCTACGTACGGTGCGAAAGAAGTTCAAAGTACATAATTACAACAAAGTGGAAAGTGACATCGTCATCAGCTGGGTCCTGGGCACCCCCCTCCTCCACACGTGCACCAACCAAGCTGCGCTGGGCAGCGTGGTGAAGTATGGTCAAACAACCCCTATGACCGATACGACATGAGAGGAGACCTGAACGTCACAGTGAATTGAGAAGAAGCTGTAAATTATCGTTAATATCAAAGTATACGTATGTGCGCATGTTTAACTTCTTTCGCACCGTACGTGGTCAACCGTGCCCATCGGAGGTGCGGGAACAGTCGCTAATTTCTCATAAGCCCTATTTCAACAAATTGTCAAAGCTTATTGGGATCTTACGAACGTAAAAATACCGTGAAGCCAGTATTACATAAACATCTCCAATAGATATAGATGATCCGTAACCCAGTGGGTGACTGATGTCAACCCAATTCATATTCTAGAACAATCTATACAGCTGACATTTAGCAAAATGAAGAGTATAGCTGAGTCTACTTTATACCACCGAGAGGTTGTTTGGTTTCACCGAATAAACCGGATCGGCTTAACTTCTAAGTCGCCTCGTAAGTCTTATGCCATCGGCATCCGTCAGTGATACGCGTAACTTGGCTCCTATGGGGTGTGGCGCTAAAGACGATGGAAACGAGTTGAAGTCTCCACCAATTAGGAGCGTTTGTAAAAACGTACAAACAATATGTTGACGTGATGGTCAATGAATACCGAAATACTTCACGTGCGATAGCAATAAGAAAAGACACGTGTACCATAAATACAATGTAAATACTGTAAACTGTATGTACATTTCCTAATTCATTTTAGAATTATTATATGTACATATACTATTTTATATACGTGCATACACTAATTCTAACTCATTATTGAATTAGTATATGTACATCTGGCTGTTGCCTGATGATGCTAGTGGTAATTACTGATGAAACGTCGTACTCAGATTGTAAATGTTGTGTATTTACTCTCCAACACACCGGTGTGCTGTACTCGGAACAAAATGGCACGTTCTGTTTACGTGACAAACCCCTTACTAATTGGTTGTGTCGGGTGGTGGAGGGTTTAACGGCACATTTATATTTACGCGATCTAACCAAAAAAATACCTCTCTTATGGATAAAAATTGATGTTTCACCCGTACGTAAGTAGACACATGCGTCCGTATGTAGACGTAAAACAAACCATACATACGCATATCCACACATTCTTAGAAAAGAAAGATAACCTCTCTTCACCGTCGAAAGGACTGTTGAGGCAAGTGCTGTTAGCGAGCACCTATTAAAGCAACCACGGTGCACAAGGGGGGACGGTATGGCCAGTAGCATGCCTGACCACCTCTGTCTCCCCCAGTGATGGTGTTTACACACCGCGCCAGGTACTCATCGACCTATGAGAGGTGCACAGGACCCAACAAGATATTTGCCAGTGAAATTTTCCGTGGCCGGGAATTGAATTCCGGTCTCAAAGAATATTGCTTTACACGCTGTGCCATAACTCCCAACTTTACAAAGACAAATAATCCCCCGATAGCCTCAACAAACTTTTTGGGCAAGTGCTGTTGGCGAGCACCTATGAAGGCGGGCACAGCACACGAGGGGGCGGGAGGCCAGCACCACGTCTCCCCAGTGGCGATGTTTACACACCGTACCAGATACGCATTTGAGGCTGAGTCGCCCTAGGGGAGGCTCAGGACCGGTTCAGATAATCGTCACTGGTGTTGGCCGCGAGCGGGAATGGAACTCGGGCCGCCGGATTCGTAGCGCATGCACGACGCACACTCATACTCAAGTTTCACTTACCTTTTCCAAAAGCAGCCCCCCACCGAAAGAAAATAAATAAACGTTCAACTCAATCGCAAGGCTGCTAGACGACGCCGGAACTGCCCCGGCGAATAAAGGAACACGAATCTACTTTCCATGTCATGTGCTTGTAAGTAAAAAAAACAACAACACAAAGTCACACACTACTTGATAGGAGAGACTCCCCACTTTATATTCTGCCCCCCCCCCCACCTCTCTGTCTCTCTCACTGTCTCGCTGTCCCAGCAGCGCTCAGATGCAGAAGTTTCTGTTGCAACAAAGAACCCTGATGGGGAACAAAACCCTCACAATATCCAGATCGAAGTGGAGACCCCCACCCCCTACCCCACCACCACCCCCCCTCCCCCCCAGGGCCTTGTGGTTTTCAGACGTTTATCAGAAACGGCACATGCAGCAAGACTCTTGCTCACTGCTATTGGCACATCCGTGTGCTCCTGTATAATTAAATATTGTCATAACAATAATATTTTGTGGATTTTTGTCAATCTTCTGATGGACGAAGGCTCCCCCCCCCTCCTCACCCGCACGCCGTGTAGGTCCACGGATGGTGGTCAGTACCGGTTCACTTACCGCTCGCCACTGAGGTTAGCCGTGAGTGGGAATTAGTCGAGCTATGGAACCGATAACCGGTGGAATAAATCGATTGTGTCGGTAATTGGCCAGCACGGCTCTATAGTATTAATCGTATCGACGACTGCTGGCGCCACGGTGGTGAGATGTTAATGACCTCGCCAGCTATACAGGAGCTGTGGGTCCGATCCCGACCCTAATATCTATATATATGGAGTTTGCATGTCTCTCTCATGTCTCTCTCCCCTAGGTCCCATGGATTTTTCTCCGGGTCCTCCAGTTTTTCCCTCTACATTTAGAATCAACGTGTGTTTAGAGTGTTCGGCTGCTATAAATGTCTACACGATGAGCCACTTCCTTGAGCTTTCATTCTGAAAAAGAGCTGTATCGCTTGGTAAAATAGAAACGAATTTAGTAGTAGTTCACTAAAACGGCATCTCAAATTGCTTCACGACACAAACGAGAAATCCAAAACGCAGAGGAGGGTTAAAGGGATGGCTCGGAAATGGATTACAAAGCAGAAAGGGTGAAGCTCAAGGTGTAAATCTGTTTTTCTTATTTGTTTATCTCACCAAGACAAACTTGCGCTGCAAAACGCGTGGCCGGAGAGTTTGTTTAAAATGTTTGCAATTTCAGTAAACAGCCATCTTGTTGCTACACATTATACAAATTGCTGTCTGTCACACTGCGATGACCATCTCCCTGCTGATCTGTGTGTGCATGTGGTTAACCACACACACGCACGCATGCACATTATTAGCCAAAGCCATGCATGTGTGTGTGTATTCGTGTGTGTGGACGGGCATGGTGTTGGCCACCCACCCCATTGTGTGCCATGCCAGCCTTCATAGGTGCTCGCTAACAGCACTTGCCCCAAAGGTCTGTTAATGCTATACGGGGGGATCTTTGTCTTTGTTTGTGTGTGTTAGCCAGCGTTTAGCGCGCGGCGAGACAAACCCGACGACACTAGTTCGATTCCCGCTCACGGCCAACATCGCCGGCAATTTGAATCGGTCCTGGGCATCCCATAGGTCGACTCGGCCCCCAATGATCGACGCACGATGTGGCGAGGCCGCCGCCCGACAATTTACAGGGAGACGTAAATAACTCGGCCATTCTGCCTTCCGCTCAGCCCAAAAGTCCCACGAGCGCGTGGATATGAGCTGGGTTTGATCCCTGCCCATGATTGCACACCGTCATCGGTGCCGTTCAAACCTGGTCTGCACCTCCCCCGAGTCAACTCAGCCACAGTACGCGTACAGCCACCCGGTACGGTGCACCCATCGGCACCGGCAGACGAGAACAGTCGGGCACATGCCGTGCTGACCTCAATAGGCACTCGCTAACGGCGTTCGCTTGACCCGTGCGTGCGTGTGTGCGTGCGCGCGCGGTCGTCCGTTACTCACCCGACAGGTGGATTGGGGTCAGCGGGCGTCCTTCCACAGCACCGGTTAATGGGTCAGAGTCAGAGCCGGAATCCTGCATCTGACCTTCCCTGTGCATCTGCAACGGTAAGCGCGCGCACAGGTGAACAATGGCGTTGTTTGGCCGTTATGAGCCCTCGGGTTATAACCCCAAGAATCCTAGTATTTCTTCGTGGTCATATTCATTATTAACCCACCAATGCAGTACATTATACATGCCTGTATGCATTATAGATATGCGAAAGTACGACAGCTGAATGCACACTCACGCGCGTGCATATGGCACACAATGCGCATTGTTGAGTACGTACGTTAACAAACACGTATGTATGTACGTTGAACTTCTTTCACACCGCGCGTAGCCAACCATGCTGATCGATGCAGGGGAAGGACAACAAACTAATCGCAAAAAGCAGTTCTGAAGAAATAAGTTTTCAATCGAGATGATTTAAAAGTGCATAGCGCCAGTGGCTTCCTAATATCGGGAGAATGTGCGTTTCAGACGACCACAAAAGGGTACCTGCCCGCTCATGATGGTGTGTTGCCCTTTAATCAGGGAAAGCCTCGGGGGAGTCATCTTCTTGGTTCTTTCGGTAAAGTCACGTAGAAGGGAAATAATAAAATAACAAAAACAAAACATAATAAAATACAATTCTCACGACGTTTCGGCCACAACGCAAGCAGCCGTCCTCAGGTGAAGAACAGGTCTGTCGGAAAGACAGCGTCCGAATGAAAGAACCTCGGGGGAGTGTTGAGACTCGCCTCTGGGAGGGTGCTACCACATTGGGATGTTTTGCCAATTCCATCCGCGAGTCTTCCCACTGCGTTTACAGCTTTCGCCGAGTGCTGCTCAGCTCAATGACCCTGGGCCACGTGGAGCGAAACGTCGGACGTCACGCCCGTGCAAGTCGAGAGAACTATTCCAAAAACTAAACGATGAACAATTTTATTTTTGTTTTACCAGCTGGGCCTACTGAGCTGTAGAGCTCTTTTTCAGAAGCGACCTGGCCACAAGTGATAGCTCAACGAAGTGGCTTATCACGTGGAAATTTATAGCAGCCAAATACAAACTCAAAATATACAGCAAGCGTCAGGGTCAGGATCAAGTTCAGGATCGAACCCACGACCTCCTGTATACCAGGCAAGGTAGTTAACATCTCCTAGCCACCGTGGCACCTGTAAAACAGGTACAGCGCGGCCGCGAAAACCCCAACAGAGTCGCAAAAACATTATAGATTGTTCGTAGTGTGTTGTCCTTCTCCAGCACCTACGATTCACATCGTTTGCTATGTACAGTGCAAAATAAGTTCAACATACACACAAATCAGAGAACCTGAAGACAAAAAAACACCTTTCATACGACAGGATAGAACTCCCATCTCCCACCAGATAGATTCAATAATCCATTGTTGTTTTCCTATCCCTCCTAGCCACCTCGCAGCCCAAGCCGACAATACCTGCTATCCCCAAAGGGGAGTCTCCCGTCCACGTACGAAGCAGCCTCAAAACCTGCTTAGCTTCCGAAACCGGACGAGAATCGGGCACGTTCACGACGAACGCTTCATCACGACGCCAACCACGGCGTTTGAAGCCTGCGTCTACCTCCGCGTGACAAGGGACAGATTTAAATGCCATAATTGCCACTCGTAATGTTTACGGCCAGGCGCGTGGTGTTGCAGAGCTGCAATTATGCACTTCTCATAAATACGGCTATTATTATCATCCATATTCTTTGGGTCTTTCGGTAAAGTCACGTAGACTTGTTATTTTTATTCTTTTCTTTCAACCTATCTCGGTGACTTTACCGAAAGCGGCAAAGAATATGGATTCCTGCAGTCGCGAAAGCTTTAAGGCAAGATGTATTGTTACCATCATTATCGTTCCTGCTGCCGCGCGTGGCTGATGTTGGTGCAGAGCAACAACTGTGATTTCACACCGAGGTGGTTGAGCCAGATGACTGCGTCAGGAGTTGCGGATTGGTGCAGCATCGCTTGCGACGGCGCCTCCTCTTACTTCTTCGTATTTGTGAACCGGGCGTTTGAGCCCAGGTTATGCGTTCCGCGGTTCTGTTCTGGCTGGTGCCCACAGTTGTCACAGCTCGCCGCTGGGGAGGTTTTTTTTACTTTCCGTTTGAGCATCATCAGCAAGTGTCCGCACCTACCGCCACGATTTATTGTCACCATCACGGACAGGCCACACGATCACAGACACAAAAGTTCCCAGGCTGTCGGTCACACGCGTAAAACTACCGCACGGAATGTAACGTACGTTTGCGCCTCTGACATATGCCTGTATGTACATCTGTAATGGTCAGGTATGTTCAGAGGGAGCCACCAGCGTGCTGAAGTACGGTAAAAGAATCCCCCAAGACCCGCATGGCATAAGGGTAGCAACTCTTTGTCAACAGCGGATTGACAAAGGGGCTTACATGCATGTTATATGTGCATGTGTGTCTCTCTGTTTATGGATGTGTGTGTGTTTATGTTTGTAGTGAGGAGCGGTGGTGTAGCGGTTAGCGGGCTGCGATACGAACTCGGCGACCTGAGTTCGATTCCCGCTCACGGCCAACACCCAGTGAAAATTGTCTGAACTGGTCCTGGGCCTCCCCTAGGTCGACTCAGCCTCAAATAAGTACCTGGTGCGGTGTGTAAACATCGCCACTGGGGAGACAATGGAAGCCAGGTGTGGTGCTGGCCACCCCCTCGTGTGCCATGCTGGCCTTCATAGGTGCTCGCTAACAGCACTTACCACAACAGTCTGTTAAGGCTATACGGGGGATCTTTGTCTTTCTAGATTTGAAGTTTTCGTGACTGCAAGGATCCATACTCTTGGTTCTTTTGCACCTACAGCCCCCTTCCCCCCACCATGCCCAGTATAAACCCCTTGACTCCGGCTTCTCTTCCACTTCAGTAAAATTCTTGCTGTGATTGTCGCACCTGATGACGATTGCTTGTGTTGCAATCGAAACATCGTGATTAAATTTATTTATTTTTATTTTGTATCTTTTCTTTTTTCTTTTCTTTACCTACGTGACTTTACCGAAAGAACAAAGAGTATCATTGTCTTTGTTGTTTATGTCTGTACGTCTTCCTCTTTGTGTGGTTGCGTCTGCATGTGTGTACACAATGCATATTTGAAAATGTGTGTGTGTGTGATGTTTGTGCGCACGTACAGAATTACGCATGGTTTTGTATGTACGTACGCGTACGATGAGTATCTACTTGTGCGTATATGTGCATAATCGCTTGATGTATCAGTTCCACTGTTGAATGAGGGGCTCCCTCCATGCCCTGCGGGTCCGTGGGGTTATCTTTAACCATGTTTCAGCACGCCACGTGCGACCATCGACCGCGTGGAAACATCAACAGACCGATGTGCACATCTGTTTTGTGAATGGGGAATTTAAAGACAGGTCACAGCGTAGCGCAACTGTGACCATGCAAACGAAACTGTGGACCACAGAGTAAACCCATCGAGATGCACTCATAACAATACAGAGATACACCAAAGACAGGCCACAACGTAGTGCGACTGTGGCTATGCAACCATAACTATAGACCATAGACTAAACCCTAATCGCAGCGGTGCTTAACCTTTAGTGCAGCCTTGCAACCCTTTGATTCTCAATCGTAAAAAAATGAAAATATTAATAAATAGATAGAGGGCTTGATGAAACAAGGAAGTTGCGCTTATGTGCCCGTGCTTCATTTCTGCTTCGATGATTTACCTTCTAAACAAATCTGGCCACGTCTCGCACCCCCCAGAAAGGGCATCTGGCACAACCCAAGGAGGTGCAGCTTTGCACCGCAGGTTAAGAACCACTGCCATATAGACGCACACTCATAGATATATAGGCAGACCCACAGAGATACATATGGCCCCACAGAGATTAATAGAGAATTCTAGAGACCCACAGAGATACACAGAGACCCGTGGAGACACGTTAAAGACAAGCCACAGCAGTGTGATAGTGGCCGTGCAACCAAAACGATGGACCGTGAGAGTAAACCCGCTGAGCTCTGCGCTCATTCAACGGAGGAAGAACAGAAAATAGACGCGAACTCTCCTTTTTTTGAAAAAAAATTATTTAGTTTTTTATAATTTATTTTGTTATAAATTTATATTTTTAAAAAAGTTTAAATTAAAACATTTTATTGTGATTTATTATTATTTTATTTATTTCGCTATTTTTTATTTTGTTATTTTCATTTATTTTTTTATTTTCTCCTGAAGCCCTCTCGTCTTGACCAACAGACCTCGACATTGGCACCTTGACTCCTGAACACACTGCGGTAATACACAAGAACAGGCGCACGCTGACGAGCGCGGCTTGGTTTAATCACGGGGTTTTTAAATTAGACACTTACGTATTAAATAACGCGCCCACTAATTGGGCAAAATGCTCGCCTACCCGTTCACCCTTACATACGCCGACCACGCAATGCAGCAACACGCACACACACGCCCGCACAGACCCCTCCAGACTCACACACAGAGTGGCCTTGGTAATTGCCGGTGCTGTCACATGTGGCAACCATTAGTGTTGGGTGGATGTGGGGGGGGGGCGGTGGTGGTAGTGAGGAGGAGGAGGGGTGTACACAAGCAGGGTGGGAGGAAGGGGGGGGCGTCTTGAATCCGGGCCACAATTACTCACTCATACTTCCCTAAAGCAGTCCCCCCCCTCCTATTTTCACTTGCCCACTCGCCCCTGCACCCCCTTCCCCCCCCCCCCACTGAAGATATAATAAAATACAGTATCGTACTGTAATATTTATCCAGCAAGGCCACGCTGGAGTCCTCAATGCCCTCCTTCATGGGTCTTCCTGTGAGCAGTTTGGCCAATCCTGTTTACGAGTCTTTAGACTATTTATTCAGGAGGGTCCTGCACGTTCGGCCACATTTGGCCAATTCAATTCATACACACACCCCACACGTGCACACGTTTACAAGCAGCATTCGTCTTCTTGGTTCTTTCGGTAAAGTCACGTAGAATGGAATTAATAAAATAATAAAAATAAAACATAATAAAATAATTCGCACGACGTTTCGGCCACAACGCAAGCAGCCGTGCGTTGTGGC